TGGATTGTGATAAGAGTTATACGAGTCTCCAATAAAATGATTAAAGAAAATCTTTTTAAAAGCTGAAAAATGTATGTTATATAGGCTTTAAAGGCTGCTTAAGATGCATTAGGTGTTGGAAGCATATATACAAATGTGCTTGAGACGATGTATGTATGGATTATGATAAGAGTTGTACGAGCTCCCAATAAAATGATTTTTTTTAAGTGTGCTGGAAAACTCGGCTTATACACGAGTATATACGGCAATCGCATCGACAGAAACTGACAGGACTTCAATCTTTGAACAGCCGAGTCTTTGATAGCTGCTGCACCCTCAGGAGGTCCTGCTCCAACATCGAGGTTGTAAACCCTATTGTCAAAATGAACCCTTTAATAGGAATGCGCTCTTGGTCCGTTGATCAATTAATTGGGTCAATAATGGATTAGAAACTTTGATGGGTGTGTTAGTCTGGGTAATTTAGAGAAACAAATCCACAGAAACTCAAGGCAGCTGCACCCTGGTCCAACCATCAGAAAGCAAGAGACCCGAGAACTAGGAAGGCGAGGCTCACCGAGCCATTTATCCCTCCACCTTCAATTAACCCCCCACGTGTTTATCGGCCAGGTTGGCATAATAAACTTTAACTATATCAATGGGTGAGTCTATAGTATGATTTGGAGGTTAATTTTTTCCTCTGAGGTCATCCCAACCAAAACATTTGATCGTAAATTATTATTTACTCCTGTTGAAGAGGAAATTTGTTATTGAACTCTTCATTAAAGCTCCACAGGGTCTTCTTGTCTTAGGAGTTAATCCCGACCTTTTCACAGGGAGGCTAATTTCACTGATACAAAGCAAGAGACGGTTAAATTCCCATGTGGCCATTAGATTGAGAATAAATGATTATACTACCTTTGTATAGTGAGAGTACTGTGGCCGGTTAAGCAGGAGGCGCTGAGCAGGCAGTGTCTCTAATACTGGGAATTCTAGAGGTAGTGTTTGTGGTACACAGTCGGGATCATTGCTTGCCACATTCTTTTTACTTTTTTTTTTTATGTTGACTTGTGTAAGTATCACCAGACTCGATTGACTTTTCACCTCAACCTAAAAGTCTTCACACTACTTTGCAATATGGATGAGTTGACTCTTAAAACTGCTCATAGGTAGCTCGCCTGGTTTCGGGGTGTTTGGCTGAAATGCTGTATGTCAAATCTGTTCTAGTCAATTCATTATGCAAAAGGTAAATGGTTTTGCTAGTTTTTACTGCGGGTTTACTCTTTCTCTTATGATATTACCTCTATTGCCAAGCTTGTTAAAATTTTTCTTTATTTTTATGAATATGTAAAGTTTAATATATTTGTCGATGGGCTAAGGTCTGGTTCTAAATGATCAGTATAAACTGAAATCTTCTGGGTGCAAGCCAAATGCTTTTGTTAAGCTACATTTTGAGTGGTCCAAGCAAAGCACCCTTTGCAGTACGCTTACCTTGTTAGGACTCATCTCCTCCCATCGGGTATAAAGTTGAAATCCTTTAATGATATCTGAGCATTTGATGAAGGTGACAGGCAGTTTGTGAGTGCGGCATAGCTGATTTCAGCTAAGCACGCTACTCTTAGTTCACTACTAAATCCTCCTTTGGCCTTTAATTTCATAAAGACAATACACTAATATAGAAAACGTTCCCCTTGCAGAGGGGTCTCGCGGAGGAGATGAGCCAGTCAGGGTGCGATGTAACAACGATGAGAAATATAACTTTCCTCTAATTCCTAAATGTTTCCTCCCTGCTCCCACTACCATGACTCGAATTCGACCTTGCAAATCTGGCTAGAC